AAAACCACCAGTCACTCCTTGGAAGAAATATAGGGCTTTCTACTCCTGTAAGGAGCCTTTGCCTTGAAAACACTTGGGGGCAATTCTACCTTGTCCTGTATAGTCACTGTGGGCCAGCATCAACTCAATGCAGTGAGTTTCGATTTGGGGGATCAAACCGGAAGAGGAAAACACATATCTTCCCAAAGCCTTTACAGCAAGTATGGCCCTGTAGATGCCATGAATTTGGACTTCTAGCCTCCAGAACTCTGCTATAACAAATGCCTATTCTTTTAAGAGATCCACTTTGTAGCATTTGATACAGCAATTCTAGGGGCATGAAGACACTCTTGAACCCCAAAGTCATACCCTCCCCGACTTGGAGGCATGCTTACCCAACGTGGAGCCTGGAGGCCTTCGCCTCCAAAACGGAAGCTCAGCATTGATTCCAGGACTGTGTTGGTGGTGGTAGGGATGGCGGGCCATCAAGGGGTTCGGCTGCAGAGTAGGGTCCAGGGACTGAGGGGTCCCTACTGATGCTCAAGTTCACTGATGCTATTTCCATGCCTTTTAAAAAGGGCAGATTGGAGGTTCTGGGAAGGAAGCAGGAGGTGATGTAACGTTGGCCATGGTCCACGAGAGAGCAGCCCAGGAACTGTGGCTTTTTCTCCTCTGTCATCAAAGTCAAGGGCAGAATGATGGCGCGCGGCCCAGCGCCTCTGAAACCGGCCTGTTGATTCCCTTCAAAAACAACTTTGTTTTGTGTCATTGCTGCCAGAGATCTTGTCGGGAGCTGGGGCCCAAGTGGTGATGGGTTTGCATCATTTTTAGGAAATCCACTCTCTGGTTGGTTCGGTTTGGTCAGAAGCAAATGCAGACTCAGGGGAAGAAACCAGCACTTAGTAACTTAATGCTCCGGTGTTGGGGGTTTCTGTCCTCCGCCTGTGGTCAGATGGTCTAATCCTGCCCCTAGTGACGCTGGAGATGGGGGTGGGGGCGATCAGGAGAGGAGGCAGAACAAGACCTTGGCAGAGCCCCAGGTATGGGTACCTCCCTGTGCCCGGGGGCAGGAGTCCAGCCTGTGCCCTTTCTCAACTGCTTGTCCCAGCTGGAACCCAAAGGCAGAGCAGGTGGTACCTGAGAACAGGGGGACCCCTTTCCTGAAAAGAATATCTCTGACCTCCCAGAGATGGATGGGACCACATTGCTCCAGAACCCCAAGCTATTTGCACGTGGACTTGCTCTAATCTGCTCCCAACTGGGTGACCTAGAGAAAGTTAGTTACCTTTGCACAGACAGGATGGTGTCGGAGGGAGGTCTTATTTAAGCCAGCTCAGTGGGCAGCTGGGTAGAATTTTACACACACGGTTTGCCATCATGTAGATTCCAACTCACGGAGATGCCCGACTTACGGCGGTGCCATGTGTGTGTCCCAGTAGACTTGGGCTCCAGAGGGCTTTCAGAAGTACGTCAGCAGGTCTTTCTTCCAAAGTGCCTTTGGGTGGAATTGAACCTCCAATCTTTCAGTGAGCAGTGGACCATAGGGTCTCCTAAGACAGACAGAATAGTGTCTGGAATATATTGATGCTTTTCAAAAAAGGCCTTTCTCCCCCCTTTTTTTTCCACTGAGAGGAGAAAGGACCCCACCCCAAGGAGAGCCCTGGTCTCTAATCATACTGTGAACCAACATCTACTGACCACGAGCAGTGAGCTATGGGGTTGCCGAGTTGGAACTGACTTGACGGCAGTGGGTTTGGGGATGCAGAGTGAGGCAAGGACACTGGGAGAACATGCCAGCTGCCGTGTGGCAGGAAAGACACCTGGGATGTGTGCTAAGTGCAAGTGCTCTGTGGGGAGTCAAGAGCGTCAGCGGCGGGAGGCGCCGAGAGTGGCACTGGCGGTGATAAGGTAGCATGGAACCAGACTGGAATGACAGGAGGGGGGCTGGGCGAGGCATTGGGGGGCGCATTGCAGGGAGAGGGAACAGCCACAGCCAAGCCACGGAGAAGATGGCGCATTTGGCAGAAGCAGCAGGAGGGGAGTAGGCCTGGAGCAGAGGGTCTGAAACGGGCGGCGGCCATGGGGTCAGATCACCGAACCTTACAGACCGCCCCCCTACAAAGTTGGACTTTGATTCTGAAGGCCGTGGGAAACCAGTAGGTGGGTGTGGAAGCTCACGGGGTCTGAGAGACTTGAAAAGGCGTCTGGCGGTGGTAGAGAGCGCAGGCGTGGAGGAGACCCCGAGACATCAGTCCTGGCTTCAGCTGGCCAGGAGCTGTGGGGGGTCTGCATCTTCCAACAGTGAGAACAAGCCTTCCTCTCCCCAGGCTAGGTCAGACAGAAGAGGGAGGGCCTTGTCCCCGGGGGCACCAGGGAGCCAGGTAAAGCACCACCACCCCCCAAACAGGGAGGAGGGGGGGAGGGATGTACGTGTTTCTGGGACAGATTTGGAGAGAGGGTGAGTTCCCCCATTAGCAAGTCCATTCTGTGGCGCTTCTCTGCCCAGCAGCCTGCCAGCACGCACAGGTGGCGCCTGGTCTCGCTCACCTCTGTGGTCGGCCCTCCCTGGTCAGGGCCCAGTGCTGCTTCATCTCCTGAGGCTACCTGCTGCCCAGACTGGCACTCCACTCCAGCTGAGCAAGTACTCATGGTGACTCGCCTCTTCTCCCACCCACTGCAGGGCTGTCACCCAACCTTCACAGGGCTGAACTGTGACGGCGGGGCAGCCTGCCCTGTACCTCCTGCAGGTGGTGTCCAGGGGAGAGCACCACTCTACCCACTGAGCCCAGGTTTGAGCTCAGAGCCTTTCTGATCTCAGTGCCCTGGGCAGCACATATCATCAATCAGCCGGGCAGGACAGGACAACACCCACCTAACTTCACTACAGGCTTCCCATTCTGCCTTTGAGAACTCTGAGTCTGTGATTCTCCTGGTAGAATTTGGGGACAAGCAGCTGTGGACATACTGGTTTACCCCCTGGGCTGCTAGCCACAAGGTCAAGGTTTGAGCCCACCAGCCGTTCTTCGAGGAGAAGAGGAGGCTGTCTGCTCCCGTAAAGATGTACAGTCTCAGAACCCTAAAGGGGCAGGTCTGTTCTGCCCTGCAGGAGGCCTGGGGTCAAGATTGACGCAATGACAATGAGTTGTTGTTGGGTTTGAGGGGATTTATATATATCCATTTTCAAGGAGCCCTAGTGGCATAATAAGTTACGGGTTATATTACTAACTGCAAGGTCAGCAGTTCGAATACATCAGCTGCCCCGTGGGAGACAGATGAGGCTCTCTGCTCCCGTGAAGATTTATAGCCTTGGAAATGCACAGAGGTGGTGTGACTCTGTCCTGGAGGGTCACTAGGAGTCAGATTCCACCTGATGGCTAGAAGTTGAGTATACGTTTGAAGGACAAATAATGCTGGTGTGGACGAAGCCACTTGTCTCTGGATGACGGGTCCCATTCAAGGAGGCGCACAGAGCGCTCCTCTGAACACTCAGACCGGAGGTCAGGGCTCAGGAGAAGGGTGGCGGGTGCTCGCCTCAATTCAGGACTGGATCCTGACTCTGGCAGCCAGGTCAGTCAGCCCTCGGACCCTCTGCTATCATGAAGAGTAATAACCCTGGACACCATTGTCTCAGGGCTACAGAGCAGTCCTGGAGGTCAAAGGATAACACAGACACAAGAATGCTCTTTGAAGTCTGTCAAGTACCCTTATAGTATGAAGTGATTGAAGTCCTGTTGTGCTGATAGATTCTCACACATCGGAAACTTTGGCCTCAGAGGAAGATCTCACCCCTTAGGTCTCATGAATCCTCATGAGTTTGGTGACCACGTGAGTGGTGAAAGCCGGTGGGATGGGGCGTCTTCAGGCCAGGAGGCCAGGCATGCCCTGACAGTGCCTGTGGAGGAAAGCATGCTTGTTCCAGTGCCGTCACTGACTCGCTGTTGGTCCCCGGATGAGCCGCACAGCCTCTCTCTGGGGCCGGTCCCGGGTTCGCCCAGTATGGGTGGGCTTTGCTGGCTCTCCCACGCCCTGTGAAGGGAAACGAGAGCCAGAGACTCAAGCTCATGCCAATGAGAGTGGTTGCTTCCTGTGCCCTGGCACACTGATGCCACGAGGGGTGGCTTGTGGCTCAACAGAAACTTCCCAGTGTCTGGCTGGCTGTCATGTGACTCCAGGGTTCCAGAACCTTCTCTCGACTCTGCTCAGCCCTCCCATTGTACAGCAGCCCCGGCTAGAGCCAGACAGAGCTTGGCAAACTGATGCCAAAGAAACCACCATTGCTATCCCCAGCAGCCTGGGAAGCAGGCGCCCCTTGCACTAACTCTAGCAGGCAGGGGTGAGAGCGTGGGGGCAGAGGAGAGGAAAGAGAGGAGGACCAGGAGACACAGGAGAGGACAAGTGGAGGACAGCAAGATGGAGAGGGAGAGGGTCAGGTGCTGCTGAGGGCCCACGCGGAGCCAGCCCTTGCAGTAAGACAGAGAGAGTGTCCAAGGCCCCCTGGGTCACAAGAAGGGCCAGACCTCAGCATAGCTCCTCAAGAGGCCAAAAGGGGTTCCGGTGACCTCTGTGTGGCTGGCAGCTCCTGCAGGTCACTTCATCTGCATCCAGCGTCTGTGTCTGACTGTCCCTCAAACTGTGGGCTCTCCCAGATGGGCGGCAGTGTCTTCCTGCTCAGGGTGGCTGCCATTTCTGCCCCGTCAGACAGAGGGATCTTCAAGGTCAGGGGCTAGGGCTCTTCTGTCTGCTGTGCTTCATTAGGGCGTAGGCCGTTTCTCCCTCCGAGAGCAGGAATGCTTGGGAAGAGGCGCTGTGGCTCTCATTTCTGCTTCCCCTCTCTGACTGTGGGCTCTGGGGCAGAGGCTGTGCCAGCCACCTCTTACAAGGACTCTCCGGGAGTAGAAGGACAAAAGCCGCCTGCAGTCAGACCCTCTGGAGCAGGTGACCTGCGAGTGGGGCCGGTGCGCCCTTGGGATCTGTGGTACCTCACCCACCTGACCCCCATCTCTCCTCCCTCCCCACGCCAGGATTCACAGACACTTTCAACATGGACACCAGGAGGCCCCGAGTCATCACTGGCCCCAGGACCGCCTTCTTTGGCTACACAGTGCATCAGCATGACATCAGTGGCAAGAAGTGGTGAGTGAGAACCGCTGTCCCCTCTCCTGTCCCCACCCTCTGACCTCAGCCCAGCACCTGCCCACACTGGTCCTCCTAGCTGCCCCTCCCATTTCCGGTCATCTGACTATGGTCCCAACAGGTCAAGGCCACCCAAGATGTGCCTTTGACTATGGACCCTTCAGTGCTCACGTTCTCGGGCCCTCAACCTGCTCATCTGTGAAATGGGAGGAACAGCCCTGCAGTCTCTGGGTCAGGCGAGAGTGAGGATGGCAGAGTTCTGGGCCCAAGAATGATCACTCCTTCCCCTCTCAGAGCCACGGTGTCCCTGTCTCGGCACGGGGGCAGCATGGCCAGCTCTGCCAGTGTCTGAAGGGGGAGAGGTGAGAGTGCTCACAAGTTGAAACACAAGTACTGAGGGAGCAAAGAGAAAGGGGAGCCTGGCCGAAGGAAGGGGGTCGGGCTGGGAAGAACCCACAGATTACTCAAGAAGAGAGAAGGTTCCACTGTTGTTTGTATGGCTGTTACTATTAAGGAATCTCTCACTTAATAGCATGTCACTCACCCTTTCCAGTGTGGTAGGAGAAAGGTGTGCCTTTCTACTCCCATAAAGAGTTAAGAGTTTTGGGGAACCCACAGGGACACCTCTTCTCTGTCCCGTAGCATCAATAGAAGTCATAAAAACTCAATGGCAGTGAGCTTGGTTTTTGTACATTCACGCATATCACAAGAATCAAATCCGGCTAGACCAGAGGATGTACACTGGTACAGATAGGAACTGGAAACACAGGGAATCCAGGGCAGATGATCCCTTCAGGACCAGTGGTGAGAGTGGCGATACCAGGAGGGTGGAAGGAGGGTGGGGTAGAAAGGGGGAACCGATTACAGGGATCTACATATAACCTCCTCCCTGGGGGATGGGCAACAGAAAAGTGGGTGAAGGAAGACATCGGACAATGTAAGATATGACAAAATAATAATTTATAAACTATCAAGGGTTCATGAGGGAGGGGGCAGTGAGGATGGAGGGTGGGAAATGAGCTGATGCAAGGGGCTTAAGTGGAGAGTAAATGCTTTGAGAATGATGAGGGCAGCAGATGTACAAATGCACTTTACACAATTGATGTATGGATTGTGATGAGTTGTATGAGCCCCCGATAAAATGATTTGAAAAAAGAATCACCACAAACCCATTTTAGAACATTTTCATTACCCCAATAAGCTCCTCATTCGTGTTTGCGGTCTGCCCCACCCCACCCCGTCCCTCTGGCACCGGCAGGAAGGCATGCGTGGGATGTTCTGGTTCTTCAGACGCCCTTGAGAGACCCCAGGAGTCTCTTTCCCTTCTTCAAAGATACCATCTGTTGCTTCACAGTCTTATTTTTCCCAAACAAGGTAGCGTTCACAGGCCTAGGGTTAGAAGTTCAGGATATCTTTTAGGGAGACACAATTCAATCCAGAATTGCTATGCAATCCATGAAAGGTAGGATTGTTGTACTACAGGGTAGATTTTAGCTTCCCTTCAGTCGTAACGGTGAATAATTTTATAAAAGTGGTTTTCCCATGTAAGAGCATTCCAGTTGCTCCATGTCTTCACTGACACTTGATAATATCAACCTTTTCTCATTTTAGACATTTCAGCAGGGTTGAGTTTGATGTATCTTTTTCTGGTGACCATAGTACGGAAGTTTCTTGGCCATTTTGATATGGTTTCTTGTTAAGTGTCTTCTTAAGTCTTTTGCTCATTTCTCAATGGGTTTTGTTCTTTTTTGATTTCTAGAACGTAGAAAATATATTCTGTTACAAGTCCTTTGTCAGACTGAGGTATTGCAAATACAGTGTCTCCTCCCAGTCTTTTCCATTTCCTAATAGTGTCTTTTAATGAGCAGAAGTTCTTGGCTTTCAAGAAGTCCAATTTTGCAACTGTGTTTTACGGCTACTATGTATGGCAGTGTGTTGCTTGCTTTCCAAACATTTGGAGGGGTTTTGTTTTGGTTTGGTTTCTTTCAGTTATTCACTGCTGGTGTGTTTTCGTGTGCTTCCATGGTGCTGTCTGCTCCCATGAAGATCTGCAGCCTTGGAAATCTATTCTGTCCTACAGGCTCATGATGAGCCAGCATCAGCCCAGTGGCAAATTTGGTTTGATCTTTTATATCTTCATCCATCCTTTTGCTTTCCACTTTCTAAGTTTAAAGTGTGCCTCATTGAAGCGGCATAGAGTGAGTTATTTGGTTTTTAATCCTTACCTTTGACTGGATAATTACACCGAGTGTAGCAACTGGTACCAGGAGGTTGAAGTGTACCATTTTGCTATGTGGGCCCTGTATGTCCCATTTATCTCTGGGTTGTTCTTTGTTGTGAGGTATGGGAAGTGTCCCTTTATTTCTCCTTTCTATCTTCCTTTTCAACTATTCAACTATTCTGTATTATTCTGGTTTTTCACTGGCTTTTTTTTAGTTGTACCCCCTTTTATTGACATTTTCATATTTACCCTAGAAATTAAAATATGCATTTTTGGTTTATTACAATCTACATTCAATTACTACTTTTGCCACATCCTAAACAACACAAGTACCTTATGACGTTTAATTCCAATTCCGGTTCCAGTTTATTTCCAGTTCCATTCTTTGTGTTGCTTTTACCATAAATCTGACCTTTAAAGGTGTCGTGAATTTAGAGCATCAGTATTTACTTCTATCTATCCATCTAGTTGCCCTCTCTGGTTGTCTATTTTTTTTCATATATCTCTGTGTTTTCGTTTGAAATAATTTTCCTTTAGCCAGAGAACCCTATTTAGTATTTCTTGCAGTGCAGGTCTGCCGACAATGGTTATGCCTTCAGAGGGTGTGTGTGTGTGGTGGGGGATGTTGTGTGTTGTGTGTTGTGTGCCTGGAAATAGCTCCATCTCACCTTAATTTTTGGAGTATATTTTCACTAGGTACAGAATAGCCATCTGGAACGTCATTCGATGACATTGTAATTAAGTCTTCTGGCTTGATGGCTTTATTGAGATGCCAGCTTTATTGTTGTTCCTTTGATATAATATGTCATTTTCCCTGTTTCGCTTTCTTCCTTATTATCTCCAACCTCAGTTTGACTATAATGTACCTGAGTGAAATTTTCTTTGTATTTGTTCTTCTTAGGATTTCCTAAAACGTTAATATCTGGTTGGTGTCTTTCATCAGATATAGAAAGCTTCTACCTTTTTTAAATTTTTCAAATCTAATTTTTGCGTCATTCTTTCTTTCTTGTCTCAGACTCCCACTGAGTGTGCGTTAGGTCATTACACCATGGTCCTCGTATCCCTGTTGTGTTTTTTATTTCGCTTGTTCATTTCTATGCTTCAACTTAGACATTTTCTATTGATTGTCTCCAAGTTCATTAATGCTGTATTTGGCTTTATCAGGTATGCAGTTAAACCCACCCAATATATTCTAATGCAGATAGTTTATTTTGAAGTTCTTCATTTTATTTGATTCTTTTTTATATAAATTCTAATTTTATATATATATATAATTCTAATTTTGTGTTAAAATGGATATATAAATTCTAATTTTTATATATAAAATTCTAATTTTGTGTTAAATATATTTCTACATCTTTTACTCTGTTTTCTTTAATAATAATACTTATTTTGAAGTCTTTGTTTGCTAACTGATATATGGATCACTCTGCGCCTGCTTCCATTGATAATTTTATCTCATGGTTATAAGTCACTTCTTCCTGATCTCTGATGATTTAGCAATTTTTCTCTACTACACTGGACATGGTGGGTTTTCCGCGCTCTGTGTTATGGGACCATCCTGAAATTATGTTAAAAGGTGTACGTATAAGCTGCTAAATCACTGGTGACCTCAATCACCTAAGTTTTATCAATGCTTGGTTTGGGTCATGGCTAGGGTAGGTCTAATCCCATTTTGCCCTTACTCCTAGAATATCGTCCCTGTTCATAAGGTCTAGATTTTCTGGGGTCCACTGAGAGCCCAGAGTCTTCACTCTGGCTGAGCTTGACCCCAGCGTCTCCCTAGGTAGCCTCTAAAATCTCTGATCTCCGGGGCTGTTTTCTGATAGACCCTCCAAAATCTCATATTCTGCGTACTCAGCTCAGGAGCCAACCAAAGACCTGAAGGGGACTGTTAGCAGATTTTTCAGGGGGGTGTGCGCACGAGGGGAGGGGTTGCTTATTTCTCTTAGGCTCTCTCTTTTCTAGTACCCTGCCAACCCAACCCAAGATCCTAGCCAGCTTTTTAGCTCCAATCACTGCTCCCTCCACCCAGCAAGATGGCCACTCCCTGTTTTGGACTCTATTTCCCGGGGTGCTCCGGGGAGGACAGTGCCCTGGGAGAGAAATCTGAGCTGCACGTGGGGGTGGCAGTTTCTGCGCCCACGTGCTGCCAGGGATTGAGTTCTGCATTCATCGATACCCAGTGTGTGAAAACGGTGGCTTCATAGATTTTGTCTAGCTTTTATTAGGGTGTAAAGCTAGAATTAAGAAGTCTCTTGAATACTCTTTTTATCAATTTATAGACCACTTGCTCTGCGAGACTTTCTCTCACCACCCTCCCATCAATTGGCTGTCCCCCAAATTTCCGTATTTCTATTTCCATGTCACTTATTATCCTGGGTAGTAATTCCCTGTTTTACTATGTTTCTTCTTAAAGGTAGGGTGGTCGTCTGTGCTATCAAATAGCTGTACTTTGAAAGGCTGAATGAATGCTGGGTCCTCTCCCAGTCAGCCCAGACATTGTGCACAACATTGCTGTTCTGCCAGTGGCACGCCTGGTTAAGGTGGAGTCGCACAGTTTGTTCCTTGATTCAATTTCTTTTGAGCAATAGTTGTTTATTAAACATCTGTTAATACATTTTACTAGACTCTGCAAAATATTGGTATGAGAACGACATGGTCTCACTTTCAAGTAGCTCCCAGACCCATGGGGAGGCAACACTAATGTCCTTGCAATAATTAAAAAGAGATACAAAATGAAGGGTGGCCTAGTGTTAATGATGTTCATCTTTGTAAG